AATGGCAATACCAATATTGTTGATTTATAACACTTGAAACATTTTGTATAATCAAAAACAAAACAGGTTAATGTTTACCAGCGCTTTGAAAATTAAAGGCTTGGATCGTAGAGGGATTTTATAACTCCACCTGTTATTTTGATAGCTCATCAGACAGCCTTGATTTACTGGTGACAGATAGGCCGCCTTATCTAGAAATACTTAAATAATTCGTCCTGATAACTAATTAGTTGCTACGTGACTAAACAGACTTGTTATTCCAAAATCAACATCTGATACAAAAACTGAACACATTATCAAATCAGTTTATCATCGCATTAGTAGCGATAGTCTTATTTTATGATGTTTTTTCAAAGACGAAGAATGTTATTTCTGTTCTTCGTCTCGAGGACTTCAAATGAGGATTTGGTTTGTAATGAAGTTCAAGTATTAAATAAATTACTTCGTTATTAAATTAGTATATGAGTCATTTTTCATCACAAATAGTGGATTACCTCTCTAGGACCTACAGTCGCTCTGTTGGATTCGAGCTCAAGTTTGGGGAATTAATAAGAATTTAAAAGATACTTTTGGTCCTTTTAATACTATGTTTTATACCTCTCCTTCCTTTGAGCTAACTAATAAAAAAAATTGTACATTGTTTTCCTTTGGTAGCTATCACACAAAATATATAACCACTAGCAGAGCACCCGTCCTTCGTACGGGGTTGGCATGTAAGTATAAAATGCGTATTGCAGTTATACTCAAGCTTTGGGTTTGCAATGGGAGGAGAACACAGTTTGATAAAATTTGGTTCATAAATTTACGGTATGATATAGTATTACACATCTACCATTGCCATAATGTTCTACCACTGCACCTAAACAATAGAAAAAAATAAATAATCAAACATTCGCACAATATCACAAATTATTTATTAAATTAAAAACTCAAACCTAACTGTAAACAATCCTACTTTGACATTTCTCATTGTGTATCACAGCTTTTTGTTGCTGCTTAGTTCAAATTAGCTGTTGTCATATATGCAAAAACAAAATAATAATAGTGATGCACCCTGTTGGGAAACCTTATAACTTGTTAATGCTATTGCATATTATAGAACCAACTTGTAAAGTTGAAACAGCTGACTAAATTCTTTAATTCCCTTTAAATATGAATACTCATAAGGTTAACATGGAGAACAACAGAGCCACTGGGGCGGAGCCCGAAAGGATTTTTGAGATAAGAATATGCCTAAATGTTAATCGGGAATGTGAGCTATCTTCATGCCAAATTCAGCCCAATCCGTCCAGTAGTTTATGCGTGATTGACCAACACACAAACACACACACAAACTCACAAACTTTCAGATTTATAATATTAGTAAGATAAGATATTGCATTGGTCTTCCATCTTGTATTTATATCATGAATGAACAGCTGTTATTGTTCTGTAATGTTTGAAATAAATATCCATAGCGGCCAACAATTGAACAACGAGCTAGAGTACAAATATCGTTCGGTAACTACTGTCAACAAATTTTGATTATTCATATTTGTGATTTGAAGTTAAGAAAGCGAGTAAAATATCAGCTAACGTTCTCGATTCCATCTGATATTTTTAAGATATTTTCAGCCTAAGATTGAAAAGAACTGGCTTAGCTCGTGGACGCATGTAACGAAAACAGTAGGTTTTTTGAATTTTTTATTTTTCTGTGTCTATGTCAGAGAAATTTTAAATCATCAAGAGCTTTAAAGGAAAAGTGGTCAAACATCCAAATCCCTCAAATGTCTTTTGGGTTTCGTCGTACTAAGACGAAAACGAAAGCAAGTTTTCACTGTAGTGCATCCAAATAAAAGTCAAATTTATATCCTCTTATCTATCGTTTGGTCTGTTCATTGCGCCTTAATACTCTAAAAATTCTCTAATAGAACGGTGTTTTGTGAAACAGTTTTTAGCTCTTCACATTATTATAATGACGATTTCAGCATTCTTCAGTTCGGTTTAATTACTTCCCTTGCCTAAATCAAGGCTGGTCGTGTAATTGGTTTGTTTGGTTAAGACTTTTCTCCTGAGGAGTAACCTAATTGTCCTTCATGGTAGGTAAACACAGGAGAAACAAACTCACATAGTGTTGTGTGATTTGAGTTTGGTCCTTCGGGCCGGATGATGGATTGTGCCATCACACACATTTTACACTATTTGTTTTGTACTTTTGATTAGATCTCATGAATATTTACGTTAATTTCCGATATATATCTGTAAACTTCTAAGGCAATGTTTTGGAACACGTGTGGAGGGATTGAGTTAGATAGAGTAACGTTGATGTAAAATTTATTGAAAATCATCGGCCAAACTATTTGGGTTTAAAGACTATTTATTTCAATATATAAACAGTAGTTTTAATCCATTTGCATTAAAGACAGTCCATATTTAGATAATTTAGCAACTATGAATAAAATATACCAAATGAACTAAATTGTAAATAATAAATGAATTAGTAAATTTTACGATGAATATAGGATGATGTTATGCATCCAAACAACAAAAGAAAATAAAGAAATTATTAGGTTACACTTTGATGTTAAATTAAGAGGACAAGTAGAAATATCAAACAATAAGTAAAATAT